AGTTCGGACTCTCGTGGTTCTGAATCTGATCTCAAAAGTGCAATGTGAAATAGATAAACACCAAAGAGTCCAAATCCAGCAAATCTTTTGAAAAATTGATTTTGAATCAAAATGCCAAAAATGGACTGCTTTGCCAAATAGAAAGTCGCCATCTAAATATTTTGAAAAATTTAGGAAACCCATGACTCGTGCCAAAGGCCACGTGTCCGTCATCATCGAGATTGTCTCGACTCGGGAACTTAGGTACGAGAGGGGAAGGTCATGAATTGAGCACTCCCGCTCACTCAATCAAAGATCAACCTCTACTAATCATGATGTGAATCTTATTTACATCATATGCTCTTATTCCGATTATTAGGCTAACATTACTATGTGATGCGCACACAAATATAGACTAATTTATAAAAATTGACACATTTGATTTCATGTTTGTTTGCAAAATTATTTCGAATATGTACCACTTGAAAAAACGATCGCATATGAACATTACTCAATTATTCCAATTCAGCAATTAGCCTTCACCCACAGGTATTCAAACAGTTTATCACTTAAGCACTTAGTCTCATGGTGAACATGCTTTGACATGGTAATAACCACACCCATGCGATATGCTAAAACAAATAAAAGCTCACCTACTACTCCAAGCCAAAAAAGATAACAGAGTTAGAATAATGCATGATCCTAACTATGCAATATGACTAATGCAACGCATACAATATGTAATTACTAGGCTCGGTTACTAATATAGCATATGAATCAATTTCATAGCATGTGGTCTAAGTACGTATTCAAAGAGTGTTCAACTACAATGCAAGTTAGAATGATGAGCCAAATCTCTTGCATGCAAGACAAATGGATGCAAACATGGAGTATGCTAAACGAAACATGATAACCCAAACTAACCATCATAAGCAAGTAAATAAAAGGGAGAAAGACGTGGGGTTTGAAGACATACACATTATTACAAGTTTGTTCTCGCACAGGAGGGTCCGAATAAACAAACTAACTAAGCTAATTAACTAGCTATTACAAAACGAATTAACTAATTATTACAAAACCAATCAATTAATTAAAAATTAGAATCAACTAATTAATTATAACATGAATACAATATGAAGAAGTAACTAAGCTAATTAATTATCCCCGGGAAGCAAGGAATGCTCATGCATGCGCGGATTTTCACCCGAAAAGCCCATTGTTCTACTGCCATAATGCCTTTGTTGCACAGTTGGAACATCTTTTCACCTCAGCCTTTGCTCTGTTTTGTTCCAAAAAGTTGCTGCTCAATTTGACAAAAGTGGCCGACAGGCCAAAAGTAGTGGCCGGCCGGCCAGAAAAGGTAGCCTACCGTCCAAAAAAAGTGGCCTGCCAGCCACTAAAGCCTGGTTCCTCTTGCTACAACAGAAAGCATACAGAGCACAAATAGGGTATTCTCAAGGTATGTTTGTACACATTACCCCTCCTTATCATCAAACAGCATAATGAAATGGCAAGCTCAATTCGCAAGCCATCAATTGATGTAATTTCATTGCATGATGTCCTATGAATCTAGGGGTACAATTTCAATAAATGCACAATAAAATACTCGCAAACCTCCTCCTATCATGGATTGATTAAGGAAAGTAGTTGACCTTGGAAACTTGAACCATTTCATCGCTAGCAAGTATGAAATGCCTCAGATTTTCATATGTTCAATTAACGTCCGATTGAACACCAAATTGCTTATTATCTTGCATCATTGTTTAGTCCCAATTTTATTACTTCATTTTAATTACCAACCATTTTTTAGTTCATTAAGTCCAATAGTGATCTTTAAGTCCTTTAATGGAAAGAAATATCAAACAAAGAGTTTTTTTGGGCATAAGAGAAGTGTCATGCCGTTGGTAATGAATCCTCAAAGGCATTAAACCATTAAGCACAATATCTCTATCTCATGCTTAAACAAACACTTAGTTTGAAACAACTTTCAAAGCAAAGAAAAAAAATCAAGAAATGAGGGAAGTTGCAGAGGTGATTAGAGGAGATCACAAGTATGGAAAGTAAGAAATACACACTATCAACTCAAATAGTGTGGTGGCTAAGGCCTAAACCACCAAACCTATGAGGACTATTACACTACAAGCATGCTATACAAAGCTCAAATGTAATGAACAATTAAAAACAGTCCTAAAACAGTAAAAAAACATGCTGGACTTGAGACAAAAATAGCTAAAACAATAAGCTACAACATAGAGCAAGTTAAGCTAGTAAACAATCACAAGGAGGGGAGGCTACCCCCTCCATTTTTGGGACTTCAAAACATGGTTTTAGCTTCTGAAAACCTCTGAGATTCAGTATTAAAAGGCTCAAAAAAAGCTGACAAAAAGGTAGGAAACACAGGGGCAAAGGCCTTAGGAAAAAGGTTCAAAGAGGGGTGATCTACCCCTCTACCTTAAATGGCCTTAAACCACAAGTTCAGCCCAAAAATAATAGGAAAAATAGTAAATAAATCAAAGAAACAAGCCAAGACATAACCTCTTGAAGAGAAGAACCCTTTCTAAGTGACAAACCAACACTTAACACACCCTCAAGAGCTCAAAGTAAGCTCAAAAGTACCTCAGTTCAAATACCACAAGGTTTTGTTTAGAGTGTATAGGAAAAGGCTTAAGAATTTGCAAGAGAGAGAGGGAATTGTAGAGAGAGAAATATTTTTGCTCCAAAATTTCTAACCCTCAAAAATGGAAGGGGAGGCCTTCTATTTATAGAAAAACATGAAACTCTCTCAGAAATATCCATACATACATGTGTGGGCAGATGCATGCACCTGTGGAAATAGTTGGCACAGTTGGCATGAATATCTGCAAAAACACACAAGTGGCCGGTAGGCCACACAAATGGCTAGCAGCCCACATTAGTGGCCTGCAGCCCACACTAGTGGCTTGCAGGTCCTAGGGTTTTTAAGCTTAAAAAACTGTGGTTTTGGTCCAAAACAAGACAAAAGGTGTGTAGGGTTTGAAGGCTCAAAGTTATGGCATTCTGCTGAGGACTTCGAGACTTGACAAGCATATACAAATTCATCATTGGGTGTGCAAGCAATGACGTCCAAGTCATAAGGGCAGTCAAAAATGGAGTGTTTACAATATGTTCTGTATGTTTTGGAGACACGTGATTAATATAAACATTGTATATGTTTTGAAAAATGTGAATTGTACTTTCAATGTTGAAACTTGTGTATCGAGTTAAAGAGAATGGATGACTGCAGAATGGATCATGGTATTGTAATTGGTTTAAACATAGTTTTAAAACGTGATTTGAAATTTCAGGGACAAAATTCCTTCAGGGGGGAGATTATAGCGATTCTGGTTTAGACCCGACCCATTTTGCATTCTGGACTCGGGTTTCATAGTTTCGTTTCGTAAAAGGTTTTTACGACGTACAATACACGCCGTAAAAATCCTTCTACGATGTACAACACGCGTCATATAATGACCAGTCATGGAAAATCATTCACTTTCAACGATATATTCCGTACGCAGTTAAAAACTATTTAACGACAGATTTTGTGCGTCGTCGTTACTTTTTCTACGACATGCTAAAATATGCCGTTAAAAACTATTTAACGGCAGATTTTGTGCGTCGTCGTTACTTTTTCTACGACATGCTAGAATACGCCTTTAAAAACTAATTAACGGCAAATTTTGTGCGTCGTTATAACTTTTTCTATGACTACTTTTGTACGTCGTTAATTGGTGAGACAAATAACGACGCTGATTGCACGCCGTAAAATATGTAATACGATAACTTACTATGCCTATTGTAGAATATGGGTTTTTTTTTTTTTTTAGGTTCTATTTGACCAATTTTGTACAATCTAACAAATATTACAAACAATTATTACAAAATATCAATCAACCACCAAAATATTATTTGAAACATTAAAAAGAAACTATATTCATAAATTATAAACATTCAACAATTGTCTATACATTCCAAACATTCGAAAACTATATCCTTAAGTTCTAACATGTCCAAAAAGTTTAAACCATCCAAAAATATACATATCTAAGTTTCTAAACATATCCAAAATTATTAAGAGATTATTTAAAACTACCGGCAACAATTCCTATAGCAATTGCAGTTGCAGCAAATCCACTTGCTCCTATCATAGGAATGAGGGTGCCCATCTAAGCTTGTAACTCTTACCACATTGCTTCAAACCTGCATTTATCAAAACAGAAGAGATTTATGAATTAGGTCCCAACCTCAAGTCCACTTATGACCTAGCAAAAGAGATTTTAGAATAACAAAATAGATTTATGCCAATTTTAAACAGTAAAGTTGATTTCAAGCACTAATTTTGACAATTTAGAGGGGGAGTTCACAATGAGCCAAGAGGAAAACACCAAAAAACTGAAAAAATAAGATAAAAAGAAAATCACCAACTATGTGGCAAATTTATAGCAACATTAAAAATATATATATAATTTAAGAGAATATTTTAATAACCTTTTTTGTTTTTTGTGTTAAGTACTTTACTCAATACCACAATAATATGTAAGCATTAGTAGAAACCTCGTGAAGCTAATGTTAAAGTGATAATACCAAGCTAAATGAGATCATATGCCTTCGGATGGATGAAAGAAAACAAGAGAGATAACACATGAAGTAAGCTTCAAATTTACTCTAAAAGATTCACAAGAATCAATTGGAGAAATATCAGAATTGAGCATTTTAGTGAGCATATAATATGCCTGTAAAACTGCATACAAGCACTTTCTATGGACACAAACGTACATCAAATCCAAGTACACCTAAAATTCACACGGTCCATGGCCATTTGTACTACACAACACAGTAGTCCAATATGATGGTTTTAGTAAATGGAACTGCTTCTTTGATGTTTGATATGGATGGTTTTAGTCCACCATATAACGAGGCAATTTCTTCAAGGTCCCATCAATATCATTACTTTCTTTATAATATTCACGTACCATTCTTACGGAATCCTTATGTATTCCAAGATAAGTTAAGGAAACATAATCCCATCATTTTAATGATACATCAGACCCAGATGCAGCAGACCATTCCCTAGAAGGATTTAAAAAAGGGATTCTCTTCACAGCATATAGAAACAATAAAAGGATATCCCCTTCTCTTGGACCAAGAATCATGCTCACTGCAGCTTTCCACTCTCCTCTAAGTAGTGTAGCGCCAATAAGGTGAGTTGGCACTGAACCACTTCCAAATCGCTGAAGCTGAAGCCATATGCATACACTCGACAAGTTAATTTTTGTAACTAGAAAACAATACTACCAGATTTTTATAAGCTTTAGGATTGGCTTTTTAGTTTTTTGAGGATTTTTTCAATCAATATTCAATTTTACCTTTTTGGGGGGCTTTTTGTGATTTAGTGTGGGTTTTTGACTTTTTTACCAAAATCAAAATTTTAAAAGCTTGTAAAAAAGGCAAAAGCTGAATATAGAATCTAGTTAAAAGCTTATTAAAACAGTGTCTCATATCATTAGAAACTATAGATTCTCATGACTCAGAGATCAAGAAGTTTTCACTCAAAAAAAGAGATCAAACAGCTCAAGAAGTTGCCAGGCATTGCTTTAAATAAACAGGACACACGTCCCCCAGCCGAGACGACCAGAGATAGATTAAATCCTCCTTACTTCCAGGAAAAAGATTTTCTTGATTCTATAATGTTGGCGTGATTCAGTTTACGCAACAAATCCTGACGTGATATATCTTTGTAATGAAAATTGAATGGAAAGAGGAGTTGGCTTGATAGAATGGGATTCCACCCATACCAACATACAGATATTCTGAACTGGTACTAGGTTTGACTAGGATATTGATCGCATCCAAGCTTACTCTGAATAAAACTTGCAAATACAAGAATCATCCATTATTTTAGTCTTAAAATAGTTTAGGAAATTTTAAGGAATTGCCTTTCTATCTTAGAAATGTTGGTGTAAACATTCATTCTGGCAAATAAAGTATTTTAACTGAATGACAACTTGAGAGAGACAGGGAGAGAGAGTAAATAGGGGAAGGTTTTGAGACAAAAAGAAGAAGATAATATTGATCAGGAAAGTACTTGTAAACCAAAGTAGTTTATAAATCCATGCTTTCCTAAAGCAACCACAGATGCTTTGATGGTGTCTTCAGAATCTGATTCAACACCCCTGCAAAGTTATGCAAGTCTGTCAGTACATGCCATGAGATATTAAACAATGAAAGAAAAAATAAAAGTTGTATTGAGCAAGTAATTTTTGACAAAAAGAAGTGAAGGCATATGCGCTTACCTTAATGTAACTGTAAATCGATTTCCATAGAGCTACCCGAGAAGAAGTCCTTCTTTGACATGGCTGGACAACGAACACGGTATTACATCCGTATGCATCGAGCAGTTTTAATGGCGGGTAAAGTAAGAATTGAAATTTTTTACTCCTAGAACTTACCAAAAGTCACCAACTTTGATACCAATCAACCTTTCATTAAGAGCAGCTAATCTACTTGCACGCTGCTTGAAAACAGTTACCCGTTATTTTAGCACAAAATAGTATACCCAAAGTCAGCAACTTTAAACATGCACACAAATGAAATACTGTAGTTTATCTTCAAATCAATTTAACTGAGTACCCAGCTAAATTTCTTCACTTCCTGAAAAAGTCAATAAAGCACTTCCCAATGATAGGTCAAAAAAACCCATCTTGCATATTCAGAATTCTGATGATCATTTGCTCCAACCAACTAGCTAAAGCACTTTTGCTACCTTCTCAAATCTCTGTCCCTCCTACCTATGCTAGTGTAACTCATCCTTTTACGACCTTTGACTGGTAACTATCATCACAACTCTTTACAACAAAATCATATCTATGCAGCACCTTGAAAAGACAAATTTTACCAACAGAACGAAAAGAAATTTGTGGCAGATGAGTTGATGTTGAGTATGATTTGGATGTTTAGCTTCTCTGAAAACATGCCTAGAAAGGAATAGTTACAATGCTTCCACTTTGTAAATACCAAGAATTAAACCATGCAATTTTACCATGAGATGTAGCATTCAGTTTGGTGTCGCTGTTCCTTGAACCAATTGTTACTTTACCTATTTTTCAATATACTCTGCACATTTTCTTAAAAAAAAAAAAAAAAAAAGAAGAAAGAGAATTTCTGTCAACACTGGTAGCGTCTAAAAAGCAAAAGAGAGATCACTAACTTTCAGAACAATTCATTGCATTGCACAATACAAAGTCAAGTATTAGGCATGTAGAGGCTTCTTGCCAACACAGCAATAGATATTGCTGTGATTGACGGTTTATGGAACCCAGTAACTTTTTCAACTTCAAGTTCTAATAAAAGACTAACCCCTAACCGCGTGGTCCATCATAATTTTGACAACAATGTTGGTCAGTAATTTTGTCAACAATGTTGGTCAGGTAAGTTATATTAAAACCAAAATAAAATTCCATCTGAACTCCTAACAAAAGCAACTCCAATTTGAACCATAAATAGGCTGTAACTGACAAATAAATTAACAATAATGAACCATGTAAGCTAGACTAAAAAAAAAAGGTGAAAACAATTTACCCTTTGAGTCGATACAGATCACTTATCTTTTGTACCAGAAAATCCAAATGACCTTGGCTGCCAGCCTGCCAGACAAAGATACTAAAAAAACTTAACAAGAAGATAGTGAACAAGCACAATAGCATCTATGAACCTTTATCACCACATGTATAGCTAGCTCTACACAACAGATACATAATTCAAAAAAGAAAAGATACAAAAAGAAAAAAAAAAAGAAGCACTACCCCTGCATTATCTCTAGTTGCAGAATATGATTACAAGACTACAACCCATTGAGAATAAAAATGAAAAAGAAAGGGGAAAAAAAGGAAATTTATTTATATTCTCTTTTATTTCATTGCACGTCAGCAAGTGAACAGAATATAAGACACTTCACTTCAGCATAGCTAAATCAAATATACCTGAATGCCTAGCATCTTTCCAATCAGTCCTAATGCCTCTTGGGTATCCTTATTCTCCTTGTAAAGACGGAACCTGAAATGGCAAATGCTTTCTCAGATGTGACCAAGAGTAACCAACACCACTTAACCCATAACTCTAAGTAATAATTGGAAGTCATCTATAGAAGCTTTCATGGGAAAAAAGAAAAAGAAAGATTCTATTAGATGTCACACCATTGACGAAAATTGTTGAGAGGTTTAACAACTGCTTCTCTATTACATGCTCAAGTCACTCCAAAGGTAATAAGTAAACTTGTTTCAGACTTTTAATCCAGGCCAAATGTGAATCAATATAGATGTTGAGAAGGAAAACTTATTAAAATAAGCTTAATTATGTTATTATAATTTAGATTCTACTATTCCATGGATTATGGCTCAATAATACTCCATGTAAGACATATTTAAGTGCGTAAAATAAGCATCATGAAGCAAAAGATTCAGAATAAAGTTGATTGCATTAACTAAGTAATAATAATATGTGGACTACTCAGAAAGAGAGGGCGCCAAAGAACTATAAACTCCAGTTTCATGCTCATTTTCTGTTTACTTCAATATAATTTGCTACTACCATTTTCTTCTTAACCAGGCTTCTCCTTTTTTGATCAAATGATTCTCACTGTTGATGATACATTTATGTAATACATAGACTGTGTCATTGCAAAGCTAATTACTTTGATTTCTTGATTTTTCAAACAGATCAGTGAGCAGAAAAGACATCTATGTCCAAAAGATGATTAGAACAACTATGACCAAAAAAACAAAAACACAAACAAAACCTGAATATTACCAAAAAACTTGTCAAGATGGTCAGGCCAATTATATGAACCTCTATTGTCGTAAGGCCTACTGCCCCTATCTTTCTGTTTCGTTGAGTTTTTGCCTGTGCCATTATTCCCTTCTTTGTACTCTTGATAGCAGCCTTCAGATTTTCCAGAGTCTCCTGATGATATGCAACTTCACCCCACGAAAAATCAAACCGTGCCACCAGAAGATTAAGACCAAAAAACAAAACTTCACAAATTCAACCTGGGAGATTAACCTTACTCGATTTTTGGCTAACATAACCAGCCAAAGACAACAAAGAGAAACAAAGACAAGCAATCCTCATACACATAACACAAATCATCTTGATATGGAGTCACAATTTTGGGTATATGTTAATATTTAGATACATACATACATGTGCAAACATCACAGAGACAAAAATCAGAACTGATATCATTAAATTTACATATATAACACAATAAAATAAAATACATTAGCTAATAAGAATCCAAATGTAGAGAGAAACTGTAAACAAAAATCAGAGCTGGAAGTGTTTTCACACAAACTAGCAAAGCAGCTTCAGTCTTGAACCAGACTAGTCCGAATTGCAGCTTTCAAAAACTGGCCTTTTCAGCAACTTCTTATAAAACAAGCATTAAAGATTCTTTAAATTTAAAAAATGACAAAGATGGGTGCTTTGAAAACACAACAGAATTTGAGCCAGTTTGAGCTACTAATAGGCACTGATCTGATCTTTTTCTGACAAAATAAATACTACTCTATACACAATAGAGAATGACCCATATTTTATCAAATGTTTGATCACTTTCTTTGTATCATAAATATGCTGTTACAGAAATCAGAATACATAATCGCACTAGCCAAACACTTTTCCAATCATTTTAACTGTATTCAGTTACTTGAAATGATTTCGAGACAATGCAAAACAAATTAGCCCAACTACAAACCCACCATGAAAAATGTAGAGAGAAACTGTAAACAAAAATCAGAGCTGGAAGTGTTTTCACATAAACTAGCAAAGCAGCTTCAGTCTTGAACCAGACTAGTCCGAATTGCAGCTTTCAAAAACTGGCCTTTTCAGCAACTTCTTATAAAACAAGCATTAAAGATTCTTTAAATTTAAAAAATGACAAAGATGGATGCTTTGAAAACACAACAGAATTTGAGCCAGTTTGAGCTACTAATAGGCACTGATCTGCTCTTTTTCTGACAAAATAAATAATACACCATATAAAATAGAAAATGATCCATATTATATCAAATGTTTGATCACTTTCTTTGTATCATAAATATGTTGTTACAAAAATTAGAATACATAATCAAACGAACCAAACACTTTTCCAATCATTTTAACCGTATTCAATTACTTGAAATATTTTCAAGACAATGCAAAACAAATTAGCCCAACTACAAACCCACCATGAAAACAAGGAAGAGAATCACCTGATCTGAATTTTCTTTTCAGCAAAAACCTAGCACAAAAAGAATGGTCAAAGTAAAATAGGAGCCATTATAAGTAAAAATCAAAATTACCTAAAAAATTGGCAATGGCAACAAAATCTTAATTTTTCGATCAAAACCCCAAATAAAAACCCTAAATTTTCAATTTAAAACCAAACTTCTCAAAACCATTACCCCCCTCCCCCCAAAATCACTAGACATATATATGAAATAGAACAAATGGTGACAGAAAAATTTGAACAGAAGTTTCGCAACAAACAGAAAAATCTGCCTTCGTTCAATCAACACCTCTTGACAGTGGTGGTTTCGAAACCCTAGCTTCGTAGAGAGAGAGAGAGAGAGAGAGTGTGTGTGAAAGAGAAGAAGCAGCAGTTCACCATAAAAAGAAAGAATCTGCAATAGAGAGTTGAAATCGAAATCAATGAGACGATCAAAATTGAAATAGAAATCGAAATCAAAACCAAACAAACAATGAGTAATCACTTTAATAGAAATCAGCAGAGATAAGAGGAAGGAGATGAGGAAGCAATGTACCAGGTAACCCTTCTTCAATGAGATGATTCAGAGAGATGAGATTGTGCTCCCTCCGAACCCTTCTCCCTTTCGATGAAACCTTCTGGGTTTATTTTAATTAGAAGACAAAGACAAAGCCAAAGCCTTCTGGATTAAGGGGCTTTTCCCAAACTAATGCAAAATAGCAACCTACTTCCCAAACTACCCAAACTGCCTAGTTTGGACGCATTTCTGGCATTTCTCAAACTAAGTTAAAATGTTGCTGTGACCACGCTTTTACGATCTCACTATCACACAAAAATTTTGTAAAATGGTAAAAGTATGATTATAAATTACATTTTTAATTAAGAAGACGCTGTTACTAAAAATATTTTTAACTAAATGTTTTTGTCATAAAACGTGGTTGCAAACCACGCTTTTAGGTCAACTTTTTTTTTTTTTTTTTTGTAGAAAACATGATTTCAAACCATGAGTTTACTGTTCACTATATAAAGCGTGGATGATAACCACGCTTTTAACCAAAATCGAATTTTAAATGAAAGCGTGGTTCGTAATCATGCTGTTAGAACTTATATAAAATATCCCATCCCCCTCATTTGCAACCACGCTTTTTACACTTTAGCTTTTTATCCGATCTGCTCTGTCGCTCTCTGCTCTCACTCTCTGCTCTCGCACTACTCTCTCTCGCTCTCTCTCGGGTCTCACACTCTCTCTCTGCTCTCACTCTCTCTCTCCGTCCGTAGGTTATCCGCTCTCTCTCTCTCTCGCACTTTATGCTCTCTCTCTCTCTCTCTAGTATGCCTATCTGTCTCTCTCTCTCAGTTTGAATTTTATGTGTTTATTGTGTTTGTGAAAATATGAATGTGGGTAGAATAGAGTTTGTCAATGTGAAAATGGTTGTGAATTGATAAAAATGTTGGTAGAATAGGATTTGTGAATGTAAAAATGGTTGTGATTTGATGAAAATCTTGGTAGAATAGGGTTTGAGAATGTGAAAATGTTGTGAATTGAAATTGATGTTAATGTGGGTAGAATAGGTTTTGTGAATTGAAATTGTGGTTTTGAATTGGTAAAATTTTGTGGTTTTGAATTGTGAAAATGTTCTAGGGTTTTCAATTGAATGTGAAATCAGAAATTAAGGTTAGAGTTTTGAATTGTGAAATCAAAACTTTTTGTTAAAATTGTGAAATTAGGGTGAAGGTTGAGATGTTCTAAATATAGTTTAGTTAAGAGAAGGTAAGGCAAAATATCTACAGTATTTCTTATCTTGGACTTTGATAATGTCCATTAAAATTGGGAAAAATATGTAAAAATAATCTAAATACCTGTGTTTGGTTTGAATATCTTTTATAAAAATTGAGTTTCTTTCTGATATCCGATCAACTTGATTTTTTACAGGTATGATATACTGAATAAATCATAAAATATAAACGGTTCGGATTATCAAAATTGGGCCTAAAAGTAGACCCGAAGCCCTGCAAGGACGGACGCAAGCACAAGCTTGCAAGGAGAGGCTCTTGACTCTTCGATGAAACCTTCTGGGTTTATTTTAATTAGAAGCCAAAGCCAAAGCCAAAGCCAACGCCTTCTGGATTAACGGGCTTTTCCCAAACTAATGCAAAATAGCAGCCTATTTTCCAAATTGGCCTAGTTTGGACGCATTTTTCAAAGTAAGTTAAAACGTGGTTGTGGACCACGCTTTCACCGTTGTTGTCACTCTCGCACAAAAATTTTGTAAAATAATAAAAATATGATTACAAATCACTTTTTTAATTAAGAAGATGTTGTTATTAAAAACGCTTTTAACTAAATATTTTTGTCATAAAACGTGGTTGCAAACCACATTTTTAGGTTAAATTTTTTTTGCAGAAAATATGATTTCAAACCATGAGTTTACTGTTCACTATATAAAGCGTGGATGATTATCACGCTTTTAACTAAAATCGATTTTTAAATGAAAGCGTGGTTCGTAATCACGCTGTTAGAATTTATACAAAATATCCCACCCCCTCATTTGCAACAACGCTTTTTACACTTTAGCTTTTTTATCTGATCTGCTCTGTCGCTCTCTGCTCTCACTCTCTGCTCTCGCTCTGCTTTCTCTCGCTCTCTCTCGGGTCTCACACTCTCTCTCTACTCTCACTCTCTCCCTCCGTCCGTAGGTTATCTGCTCTCTTTCTCTCTCACTCTCTATGCTCTCTCTCTCTGGTATGCCTATTTGTCTCTCTCTCTCTCTCAGTTTGAATTTTATATGTGTTTATTGTGTTTGTGAAAATATGAATGTGGGTAGAATAGGATTTGTCAATGTGAAAATGGTTGTGAATTGATGAAAATGTTGGTAGAATACGGTTTGTGAATGTAAAAATGGTTGTCATTTGATGAAAATCTTGGTAGAATAGGGTTTGAGAATGTGAAAATGTTGTGAATTGAAATTGATGTCAATGTGGGTAGAATAAGTTTTGTGAATTGAAATTGTGGTTTTGAATTGGTAAAATTTTGTGGTTTTGAATTGTGAAAATGTTCTAGGATTTTCAATTGAATATGAAATCAGAAATTAGGGTTAGAGTTTTGAATTGTGAAATCAAAACTTTTTGTTAAAATTGTGAAATTAGGGTTAGGGTTGAGATGTTCTAAATATAGTTTAGTTAAGAGAAGGTAAGGCAAAATATCTACAGTATTTCTTATCTTGGACTTTGATAATGTCCATTAAAATTGGGTAAAATATGTAAAAATAATCTAAATACCTGTGTTTGGTTTGAATATCTTTTATAAAAATTGAGTTTTTATTTTTATTTTTCATATATATATATATATATATATATATTATTTTGAATGAAGTTTTTTAATATTTTAAATAATTGTTTTAATTTTTAGATATACCTTATATAAAATAATATTTATGAAAAAATTCACTAAATACAAAAAATATAAAAATACAAAAATTCATTACATTTTTATAGTTTTGTATGTTTATTGATTTGTTAAAATATTTTCTTACAAATAAACGATCAAAATTGAAATAGAAATCGAAATCAAAACCAAACAAACAATGAGTAATCACTTTAATAGAAATCAACAAAGATAAGAGGAAGGAGATGAGGAAGCAATGTACCAGGTAACCCTTCTTCGATGAGACGATTCAGAGAGATGAGATTGAGCTCCCTCCAAACTTCTCTCTTTTGATGAAACCTTCTGGGTTCACTTTGATTAGAAGCCAAAGCCAAAGCCTTCTGGGTTAACCCTCTCTTCTTGGTTTTGCCCAAGTATCTTCTTCGAACCCTCTCTCGTCTCCCCCATCTTCTGAGTTTATATGTTCCTCTGTCTAATATGTTTTTGGGTTTGGGGGTTTGGCGCTAGAGTATTTTATTTTGACACCTATTTTTATTTCGGTCATACTATTCATGATAAGAATTGCGCGTCGTAAAAAGTAAAATATTTTTAACGGTTAACATATGTGCGTCGTGAAAAGTGTATTTTTTAACGGTTAATTTTTTGTGCGCTGCAAAATGTTTAATATTTTTAATAGTCAGTGTACATGTGTCATGTAGAGTTGATGCATTAACGGCATGTCATATGCACGCCATAGAAAGTCTTATTATTTACGGCTATCATTGCAAGCCGTAAAAAAATCATCATTATTAGCATTCACGACCTACACAATAGACACGTCGTGGTTGGGAAATTATTTACGATATGCAAAAAAAGAAAGTCGTAAAAGTGAGAAATCACGTCGTGCATTTATTGTATGTCGTTAATGTGGTGCCGTGAAAATCCGATTTTGTTGTACTGACTCTCTCCCAAGAAACAACGATCAAAGTCATTTTGCACTGTGGTTTGTGTGGGTGATATTCACCATTGTAATATCACCCCACTGCTGGGATTGATTGATCTGATTCTGGAAGCACGTGATTTATCCACGAGGTTCTATCATCAAAAGGTATGATCTGATGATTTTATTCCGCTGCATGTTTTGTGTTTTGATTTACAGTATTTTTACCAAAAGAAATGGAATCAGGTTTTCAAACTGTAACAGTGTATTTAGAGGGTGGCGATGGGTTGTGGGGCAAGGGGGATGGGAGGATGATTGTAGAGGCAGCGTGGGTTTTGACGGCGTTAGGCTGTAGCAGGAAACAGGTGGGTTGCAATGGCGGACAAGATTGGGAAGGAGAGAGAGTTTATCCATTGTGTGAGGTGCATGGTCATATTTAAATGGATGGTTAGGATAGTTTGTGATCTAGTATGAAGGAGAGAGAGTTTATCCATTGTGTGAGGTGCATGGTCATATTTAAATGGATGGTTAGGATAGTTTGTGATCTAGTATGATCAAGATTAAAAGTGGTTTTACAAGAAGTTAAAAAGAGTAAATAATATATTGCCACATGTATTTAAAAAAAACAAAAAAAAATTGTTAAACAAAGTAACTGAGATGGACATGAGTGTAGATTGTGACACAGAATGAAGTTCAAAATTTAAATTTATGAAATTAAAATTTTCGAGTTTAAATTGAGATGGACTGCAGTTTTTTTTGTAATTTGTCCAATATTTTAAACATGTTTACATTCATTTGTTGGCAAAAATGAAAATAAAAATATATTCAGTATACACTGTAATGTAAAAATTTCATGCCAATAATAAATGTATTTTTAAAAACCAAATAATTTCATGCTAAATGGTATACCTTTTTTAAAATAAAATTTTGGTCTTCGCATGATAGTAATTCATTACCACATGTCTAATGTCATCCTTAAATAGTACAGACAATTATGGTTTGAATTATAGGTAATTATTGGTAATTAAATAGTGGAAATGAAATCCTTGAAAGTAAATGGTAATTAAATAGCGATAATTATTGGTTAAATTTATATCTAAATTACATCCCCGAAAGTAAGCTTTTAAACAAGTTCTGGCCGCATATCAAGATTCAAAGTGTAGAAAGAGAAAAATTTTAAGTGCAGAGAGACAGAAAAGAGCAAAAGAGTGAATACTACTAAAAAATAATAATAATAATAAATTGAATTTGGTGCTTTTGGTTTAATCTTACCTTAACACCACTTTAAGTTCCAAAATCTAGAAAATGGTCTCAAATGTAATATTAAAATTGGATTGGTCCTTACAAGTGGGTCTAGGCGGGTGAAGTGGTTATCTAAGCTCAGCCTGAGTTGTGTTGAGAGTTGTCTAGGCCCACCCAAGGCCGAATTGTAACTTGAGGTTGTTTACGCAAGTTTGACCCGAGTTAAACTCAAACTACTCATCAACTCGAGTTATTTTTTATTTTATTTTTCATTTTTAAAGTTGATTAATTTGTCAAAATTAAATTATATTAACAATTTTTTTGATGGTAAATGATTAGTAATAACATCGAAACAAATATTTTATTTAATGTGAGAAAGATGGAGAGGTGACAAATAAAAATTTAAATTGAGATGGACATGAGTGTAGGTTGTGACACAGAATGAAATTCAAAATTTAAATTGATGAAATTAAAATTTTCAAGTTTAAATTGAGATGGACTGCAGTTTTCTTTCTAATTTGTCCAATATTTTAAACATGTTTACGTTCATTTGTTGGCAAAAATGAAAATAAAAATATATTCAAAATACACTGTAATGTAAAAATTTCATGCCAGTAATAAAATGTATTTTTAAGAACCAAATAATTTCATGCTAAATGGTATACCTTTTTTAAAATAAAATTTTGGCCATCACAGGATAGTAATTCATTACCAAATGTCTAATGTCATCCTTAAATAGTAGAGACAATTACAGTTTGAATTATAGGTAATTATTGGTAATTAAATAGTGGAAATGAAATCCCCGAAAGTAAATGGTAATTAAATAGTGGTAATTATTGGTTAAATTTATATCTAAATTACATCCCCAAAAGTAAGCTTTTAAACAAGTTCTGGCCGCATATCAAGATTCAAAGTGTAGAAAGAGAAAAATTTAAAGTGCACAGAGAGAGAAAAGAGCAAAAGAGTGAATACTAGTAAAAAATAATAAATAAAAAAAATCGAATTTGGAGCTTTTGGTTCAATCTTACCTTAACACCACTTTAAGTTCCAAAATCTAGAAAAGGGTCTCAAATGTAATATTAAAATTGGATTGGTCCTTGCAAGTGGGTCTAGGCGGGTTAAAAGATTATCTAAGCTCAGCCTGAGTTGTGTTGAGAGTTGTCTAGGCCCACCAAAGGCCAAATTGTAACTTGAGGTTGTTTACACAAGTTTGACCCGAGTTAAACTCAAACTACTCATCAACTCGAGTTTTTTTTAATTTTTTTTTTAATTTTTAAAGTTGATTAATTTGTCAAAATTAAATTATATTAATAATTTTTTTGATGGTAAATGATTAGTAATAACATCGAAACAAATATTTTATTTAATGTGAGAGAGATGGGGAGGTGAGAAATAAAAAATTAAATTGAGATGGACATGAGTGTAGGTTGTGACACAGAATGAAGTTCAAAATTGAAATTAATGAAATTAAAATTTTCGAGTTTAAATTGAGATGGACTACAGTTTTTTTTTTGTAATTTGTCCAATATTTTAAACATGTCTCCGTTCATTTGTTGGGAAAAATGAAAATAAAAATATATTCAGTATACACTGTAATGTAAAAATTTCATGCCAGTAATAAATGTATTTTTTAGAACCAAATAATTTCATGCTAAATGGTATACCTTTTTTAAAGTAAAATTTTGGTCTTCACAGGATAGTAATTCATTACCAAATGTCTAATGTCATCCTTAAATAGTAGAGACAATTACGGATTGAATTATAGGTAATTATTGGTAATTAAATAGTGGAAATGAAATCCCCGAAAGTAAATGGTAATTAAATAGTGGTAATTATTGGTTAAATTTATATCTAAATTATATCCCCGAAAGTAAGCTTTTAAACAAGTTCTGGCCACATATCAAGATTCAAAGTGTAGAAAGAGAAAAATTTAGAGTGTAGAGAGAGAGAAAAGAGCAAAAGAGTGAATACTAGTAAATAATAATAATAATAATATATCGAATTTGGAGCTTTTGGTTCAATCTTACCTTAACACCACTTTAAGTTCCAAATTCTAGAAAAGGGTCTCAAATGTAATATTAAAATTGGATTGTCCTTACAAGTGGGTCTAGGCAGGTTAAGAGGTTATCTAAGCTCTGCCTAAGTTGTGTTGAGAGTTGTCTAGGCCCACCCAGGCCGAATTGTAACTTGAGGTTGTTTACGCAAGTTTGACCCGAGTTAAACTCAAACTACTCATCAACTCGAGTTTTTTTTTTTTTTTTTAAAGTTGATTAATTTGTCAAAATTAAATTATATTAACAATTTTTTTTGATGGTAAATGATTAGTAATAACATCGAAACAAATATTTTATTTAATGTGAGAGAGATGGAGAGGTGAGAAATAAAAAATTAAATTGAGATGGACATGAGTGTAGGTTGTGACACAGAATGAAGTTCAAAATTTAAAGTGATGAAATTAAAATTTTCGAGTTTAAATTGAGATGGACTGTAGTTTTTTTCGTAATTTTTCCAATATTTTAAACATGTTTCTGTTTATTTGTTGGCAAAAATGAAAATAAAAATATATTTACTATACACTATAATGTAAAAATTTCATGCCACTAATAAATGTATTTTTAAGAATCAAATAATTTCATGCTAAATGGTACACCCTTTTTAAAATAAATATATAATTAGTAATTTTATGAATTTATAATTTTATATTTAAATTTGTACATAGTTTTTGAATTTTCCTTAAGCAAATATTAAATGTGATAGTGATTGTATGCAGGGAGCATTTTTTTTTTTTTTTTTTTGCTTTTATTTTTAAATGTGACATCCTTCACATAGGGAGTAAAAAAAGAACTTTCACGCAGAAAAGATGCGAGTCTCCACATGATCAGTAAAAAAAACTCCACATACATATGAAAGCTTAGTCGTTGTTTTGTATGAATAAAAATAAGTGAATAAAAATGAGAAAATAAACAGTTATAAAAAACAAATAGAGCAAAAGAAATGGGAGAAAATATAAATTGAAGTAATGTTTAGAGGTGTTCAAGTAATGTGTCACCTCTAGACTTCCTTCTACCCTGGAAAATATAAATTGACAAAAATGAGAGGACTGATTTTTATATGAAAATGTCACTTATAGGAAAATATAAATTGTCTTTTTGACTCCCACAACTTCCTTCCACCAAGTGTCCGCCTAAACAAATTCAAATAACCAACACAAAAATAAAAGCAGGTTAAAAAAAATCAAATCAACACTGAAATATTACGAAACCAAAGAAGAAGAAACATGGAAAAAGAAAAATTTACATTTACCGTGCACAAGAGCATGATGTTAATTGTAATAAATAATGAAAAAAGCATAACACAGGAGTTCCATATACAGTTATGTCAAAACAAACCAACATTCTTTATGTGTTGTAAGTTTTTTTCTTAAAAATCTAAAAAATCCAAAGCATATTAATTATTTTAGCTCATATTTTAATTAAAAAATCAATAATGCTTGCTGATTACTTAAATAAAGTTCTTGCCTCACAAGTAATTGTAATTGAATGAGTGAAAATTCATAT